TTGAAATTATTAAGGAAAGTCCTGGGCTTCGTACAGTTATGTGAGATAACGGTCTAAAATTTGCATTTGAATGTTAAGATGGTACAGTTTAGGACCGTTTACATGTCAGGGATGATACCTACTTAACAGGGTTGGGAGGCTTCTACCTAAATGAGAATGTAGGTAAAAGCACTTCATAAACTAAGGAAATACATCATCATCCCTAAGATAAAGTGTCTTCCCATGAAGATTTTGTAAAAGGAAGTCAGACGTAAATTCAACTCTGATCACAAATATGAGAATAATTATCCGGAAGTTATGAGCTCTATAATAGTTTTCTTTCTTTATGAATTCAGTTCAAACGGATAGTAAAAACAATTTGGATGTTAAAGATACAGTTTTTAAAAATGACTCTATATGTCCCAAACATATCATGCTAAGACTTGGGGGTTTAGGATCCCACTGTAATAACTTCAGGCCCATCTAGTAGGAACAGAAGTAGCTTTGGTCTTGCAGTATTTAGCTGACATTGTGGATCGGCCTGAGCACAAGGAAATGATGATGTTGCAAAGGAATGGGAAATGACACGTGTCGGGTATATACTCGACACTTGACATATATTGTCTTTCATAAAGCTTATTGCTGCCCAAAGAAGTGGTAGCATCTCCAGTCTTTAGATGGTGGTTGAGGGAACGGGCAGGGTGTGTGTGTGTTGGGGTGTGTGTGTGAAAATTACAGTGATTAAAGAACTTGCTTAAAATCATAGCGTTGAAGTGGTAGAGCTGGCATGAAGACTCTTACCAGCCTCAGGGTCCAGTTCTTTCCCTCCCACCATGCTGCCATGGGGGCCCGGAAGTAAACTGACACTCAGCAGCCGAGCCTTGTGTGGTTCTGGTTCCTTGTCCCAGTGTCACACCGCATCTTAATTGATTTTCTTCTGTAGAGCATTTACAGAAAGCTTCTGACAAGACTTCATGAGATGTTATAGGTGACAGGTATGTGGGAAAAAAGATGAAGTCATTAGCTGAATTAAGTTCTGGAGTGGACAGGTTAAATTCCTGGATTGCCTCAAGTTTCGTTTACATGGGACCAGCCGTCTTTCATGAGGTCATGACAGAAATGCTGGCAAACTCTTTCCATTAGTGGGTCTTGCATGCAGTATGCACTTCTTCTGTTGTGGGACTCTTTTTTTTTGTTGTTGTTGTTCAGAATTCACCTTAGGGGTTTTCTCAGACTCGGCCTTCTTAATCTATAGCGGTTTTTAGCTTTCTTTTTTCTTTCCAGACCTGCGTGAATGATGCAGTTTCACTTCTGGGTGTCAGGATTCTCTGTCACACTGGTTTGTCATGACCTTAAAGTATCTTAAGTTTCTCTTTGCGTTAATTTTTTTTTTTTTTTTTTTTTTTAATGTAGTACCCCGGTGAGCTAGAGATTTGTTTTACCAAGTGAGTTTAAATCACCAGCAGCCGGAGTTGTCCATGAGCATTGTCAGACTTGACCAAATGTAAAACCCTGCCAGTGGTCTTTTTCTTTTCTTCAACTTGGTAGGTTTTGGGGTCCAGACTCGAAGGCTAGTTACGCTTCTGCATCAGCCTTTAGGTTAAGAGTTGCCAAAGATGGCATACAATACCAGGGACGGGGAGTTGTTTGTTACCATGATCAGAATGGTCTTAGTTTATAGTTGCCATCCTAGCTGTCCCCTGTAGATAACTGACAAGTCCTAAGAGTCGTTCTGAGCTGCAGCCACCCACAAAAACCACATGCATGGCATTTTACTCAAAACTTTAACCACTGCTTTGTGATGCAAAACTGGTGGAATTTTGGGTACTTTCTGTAAAATCGAAATCTTTACGGGGGTTTTCCAACATTCTAGTTGATTGTTAACAAGTGATCACTGTAACGAAGAGGAGAGAGCAGAGTTGGCTAATCAACACCGACTTCTGTGGTAGGTAGGATAGGATGCCAGTCTGTATGGAATCTTTCCACGTGGAGAAAGCCACGTTGACTGAGAGAACAGATTCTCCTTTTGAAAAATGCAATTAAATAAGAGATATTTATATGAGATTTGTAGTTGTAAAAGAGATTTTAGGAGCTTCTTATCTTTGCCACAAAGTTTTCAGTCTTGACAAAGTAATCATATTCAGGAGTTTCTAACTTGTAGATCCTCTTATGAAAGAGATTTGAAAAGAAAAAGAAATCCATTTGTATTGTAGGACAAAATACAGTTCTGCATAAGAACTTTCTGTAAAGTGAGAACTGTTACGGGAAACTGATTACGGATAAGATACTGTAGCCCGTTTCTGGAATGGGGATAGCAGGTGGAAGAGCTCTCTCCTGTTTAGCTGAGTCAGGAGTGCTTTGTTTATTCTGGAGCTAAGCCCTTGGGCAAGTCTCTTTACTACTGTAAGGCTCAGTTTCTTACCTTTAAAATGAAAGCTCCACTCCCATCTATGGTTTGGTAGGTAAGAACATGTTGTCTCAAGAACCTTCAGTAGGAGTCCTTTGTTATTATATCCTGTCTTGTGTAAAGGTGACTTTTACTGTCATGTAAATTAAGCCTTCTATCAAGCACATTTTGTTTTTTAAAATCTGTGAAAGCATTATTTTAGCAAAACTCAACTCTACTTGTGTAAGTATGTAGCTGTGATCCTTTTGTATTTAATATTACTGAGGGACTAAATCTCCTTCTATGTAGCCCAGAAGTCAGACTAATGGTCTCATGAGTAGCCTTAAAATAACTATCAGAAACTTCCAGGCTGTTTCTCATTAGCGCATTATCCCAACCAACCGTAGGAGGAGGATATAGAAATCTATAATTGAGGTTTTTTTTTAATTAATGAATTTATTTATTATTTATTTTTGGTTGCATTGGGTCTTTGTTGCTGCGCGCGGGCTTTCTCTAGTTGTGGTGAGCGGGGGCTACTCTTCGTTGTGGTGCGCGGGCTTCTCATGGCAGTGGCCTCTCTCATTGCGGAGCACAGGCTCTAGGTGCACAGGCTTCAGTAGTTGTGGCACGTGGGCTCAGTAGTTACGGCTCGCGGGCTCTAGAGCGCAGGCTCAGTAGTTGTGGCACAAGGGCTTAGTTACTCCACGGCGTGTGGCATCTTCCTGGACCAGGGCTCGAACCCCTGTCCCCTGCATCGGCAGGCAAGTTCTTAACCACTGTGCCACCAGGGAAGCCCTATAATTGAGTTTTTAATGTGATAATTCCTTAGTTTACTGTGAAGATCGTGGTAATTTCTCACTAGCACATAAGTAAAGCTTTGTTTAGTTTGCTACTGCAAAGACTGAGTTGCTGGTTAGCTTCCACAAATAAGGTATGCTTGCTTTGTAATTTATGTTAGGAAATGTTTAAACAGGGTGAAAGAGCAGTTTTTACAGGAGCAAAATCAAGCAACCCATTTTCAGAAAGTAGAACCAAATAAAACTAAACTGACTGAAGAACAACCAGTAATGAGCTTGGGAACAGGTAGGTTGAATCAAATTTTTAAAAAACAAAGTGAAAAGCGTATTTTGTGTGCGTGTGTGAGGAGTCAGGGCGCACAGCTTTAAGAGTACTTGCGGGGTCTTCCCTGGTGGCACAGTGGTTGAGAGTCCGCCTGCCGATGCAGGGGACATGGGTTCGCGCCCCGGTCCGGGAAGATCCCACGTGCCGCGGAGCGGCTGGGCCCGTGAGCCATGGCCGCTGAGCCTGCGCGTCTAGAGCCTGTGCTCCGCAACGGGAGAGGCCACAGCAGTGAGAGGCCCGCGTACCGCAAAAATAAATAAATAAATAAATAAATAAATAGAGTATTTGCGCAGGATGAACTTTCGAGTAAAGCTCTAGGGCTCAGCAGGGTGGAAGCTGTATCTGCAGGGGGGAACAAGGTTCATCACTACATAATTTCAGGGACATAAGTAGAAACGGGCCAGAAAATATGAACGTTAGAAAAGTGGAACGGAATTTCCCAGACCCTTTGACTTAACACGTGGTTTAGTTAAGGAAGTTGGCAAAATCTTCAAATATGAATCCGTGCTACAGAAAACTTTTAAAATTCAATAATCAGAGCCGAGAAGACTTTTTGCATGTTAGTAGTATGCTATCACATTTGTTTCTTAGCCCGATAGCACTAATTCTTCACCTCCGTGAGTAACTTTGAAGGTGACTTGGACCTTGATCCTTGAAATAGAAGTGTTGAAAAAGCGATGTCTGGAGAAAGGTGAAATCACAATCACACATCAAAGGCTGTAGGAGTTATAACTTCAAATTTTATGTTTCAGTTGTACCAGCTTTGTGTCCATACTCAAACTCCAAGGGTAGGATCTACTGCTTGTAGGGTGGAGTGGCATTCCGATTCCATTTATTTTCTGCTGAAGCTGGCGAGTTGAATGAAGATTGTATCTCAAGTGACAGGATTCGAATGAAACAGGACAAACCTGTAAAAGCTGCAACCTGAACGTGTCACTGCAGAACTCTGCAGTGAACGAGATGGGACGGGGCTTGGGAGACAAACCACACACACTGCCTCTCCGTGCTGGGCAGCTCAGGAGATTGAAGGGAGATCCGAGGGGAGCAAGTCCTTGCTGGCTGGAGCTCACGTTCGGGGAGGGGTGGGGGGGGTCGGCACGGAGCGCCAATTTGTTTATAGATACAAGTACGTATCTGTCTTGGGCTTGCCTTATTATGGAAAAATTCTATGGAGATACGCTGCACTGAATGGAAAATTACTCACTTTTTTTTAAAGTTATCAATTATAAAGTAGAAGCACTGGTTTTGAAACTAGTCGTTTAACTGGAATTTAATCACGACCTAGTTCCCAACATTGGATGGTAATTATCCTTATTTAGCAAAGCACAGAGAAAAATCAGTGTTTGTTAAAAGAGCGACCACGGTGGGCATTGCTCTCAGGAGGGGACAGGTTTCACTACCTTTGGATAGACGAGTTAGCTTTTGTAAAACATTTTCAACTGTCTTGAAGGACTCTGACCGCTGGGCATGAGTGAGAACTAATCTCCCTGTTGGTGATTCCTTTGCACTGCAGGTAGCAAGATGCAGGTCCCCCAGGGAAAGTGCAGGAGTGGGAGCCTTACCATGTGCTACAGTGCTCGTGACAGTCTGCTTGGCAGTCACTTACCGAGAAGAATGAATGGCTGGCTACTGTATAAACCCTCCCCCATATCTGTTCAGGTAGTTCTCCGTTATCATGAATCAGGTAAGCATTTTTGGATTTAATCTGGTAGGCAGACCAGTTATACCTTAAATTGGTCCTAAAGGAAATATATAATTAATTGGAATAGCTGTTGTTATGACGCAAAGAAATGTCTAAATGAAAGCCACCAGCCGGTCACTGTATTTTATTCTGCATCATTTATTAAATATTATTTTTATATCTGCATTTACAAACTTTACTCATTTCAGAACTCTGCTTTCAATACATGTTTAACTCTTTTTGTAGGGAGATTCTCTTGTAAAATGAGATCCATGTACAAAACTAGGCAACAGATATAAAAGTTTCCTTTCATACTTTTTCATCCATCAAGAAAAGAAATAATGTGACAAAGAAATAAAACCCAACTGTGGCTCTTTCACAAGAATAACATGACAGTGTTCAAACTATGGGCTCTAATGGGATAGATCATATTTCATCTTTATATGTGGGATAGATCATATTTCATCATCTTTATATGGATCGATATAGTTTAATACTTCTTCGCTACTGTAGCATGTTGGTTCAGATGAAGGAAAAAAATCAGCTCTACTGCTTGGACTAGATAATCTAGAGCCCATCAATTACTCGTTTCTTGATAACGTTGACACCAAAATTCACCTAGGAGATGACATTGATTGGCTAGCAGTATGCATTTACCTCAAGCGTGGCATAAAAAGTTCCCTTTAAAAAATTCACTGACTTGGCAAACTAAAGTCTGAGCCTCTAATTCAGCTCTCTTACTTAAAGAAATAGTTTAAATGATCAATTCAGAAGCCTTAAAGTGTCTTTGAAACTAAAGTTGCTTTTCTTAAAATGAATGCTGACTTGACAGTTCATAGGCTTGGAGCACTGTCACTACGAGACAGAGGCACTAGTGCCGCTAGCAATGAGAAGTAGTGTCACCGCAGGCTAAGTGTATGGTACAAAATGCCCGGGGGCCTGAAACTCACTATTAACATGATTTTGGCAGCAGCATCATTTGATATTTAACCATGTATTACATACTATTAACACACCAGCTTCAAAGATGTGCACTCCCTCCCCTTAGGATACTCAGGACTTAAAAATTTATTGTGATTGCATAATCGGTATTGCACAGTTCTATAAAAAACATAAATACTGGCTATTCTAGTTTTAAATACAAAATACATGTCATATACTTTTAAATCTATAATGTGGTTCAAGTGCAAATCAGGTGCTTTCTTTAGTCCTTCCAAAAAAGGCATTTTTAATATTTTTGGCGCAAATGAAATTTCATCGTGCCAACAATTCTAATTACAATACATATATCCAAACCTTGAGAGTAGCGATCATATACATACGGTATAAAACTGAGTATTTACAAATATACTAAGCATAAATGTAACCTCTGTGGGTGAATCAGAACGAATTAGCCATACCCACACTAAAAATAATTTAAAAAGGTAAATACGATTCCTTTATTTCATTTGCTTATGCTGGTTGCTGTGGGTTGACGTTCATGTGAGGAGGATGTCCTAGAAGACCAATTCTTTGTTTCTGCTTCCTTTGTTCTGTCATCTGGAAAGTTAAAAAGTTTCATCATTAGACCCAGACACTTCCTGTACGTCAAATCATATACTCAACCATAGATTACCTCTGTGGTTATGGTTTATACTGAAACCCACTTTCTACAGTGTACTGTCAGTATATCAAACACAGAACTTCAAAAAGGACATCTTCCTAGGCAGAATGGGGAATTCTGTGCCTTAGGCAATGTGACATTCAGAAACTTTGCTTTCTACTTGTTTCATAAAGGAACAAAAAAACAGTTAAAGCACAAGATTCTTGATCGTTTCCCAAATCCACTTCCAACTGATAGCTTTGTATAACAGTAACAACACACTGAACCGTCGAGAAAAGCAGTGTGTTTAAAATCCTAGGTTTAAGAGAGATTAAGTCCACGGTCTTCAGGGGGTCTTGATTCCTCTCCAGTGGCTCTTGGGCCGTTTTGATCTGCGAGAAAAAAATCACACAGCATTTCTAGGGAGATGATGAGGAATGTCCTCTCCTCTGAGGTCCAGGGTGACTAAATAACATAATCATGGCCTGGCACTCAGTGGTGACTATTCCTTGCCACCTACAGACACCAAGGTCAGGAAAGACCATTTCCTAAGGCTGGTCAAATGAAACAGTGCTTTGCAAACCCAGAACAAGAGGTTGGTACCGTTTATTTCGGCTGCCGAGCTAAATCAGTTCTCACACGGACAGGTATCCAGCTCTGTTCTGGCTATTTCAGGGCGTAATTAATTCCCTGCATTCACATTTCTCATAACCCAGGTAGTCCCAGCTCAGGATTTGATGCTGGGCCTCAAATATTTTGGTACAAAATATCCTGAGAACATAAAATAAGATTAACTTACCTAGGTTCAATTTTAACGTGGTTATTTTTTCTTAAACATAGCCGTTTTCCTTTCATATCAAAATACTATTTTTAGGCTCCTGTGAAATGCCTTCAGTTATATTTTAGAAGAGAAGATTTACAAGGAGTGAATATTTCCAAAAGGCAGCTTTTTATAAAGCCTTTTATAAAGAGTTGAATTAGGATATTCCAGCTAGCCTCTAAAGTTTCTTTGGATGAGTGACAAATCGTGAAGGGAGGTGTCACACCCTATACTACACAGATTCAGCTGCGGAAGCAGAACCTCACGTGACCCGTGGAATAAATTCACAGGTAGATTGTAACGCAATCAGTAATTCAGCCATCTCACTGCCTGATACTTCATGTTGCTTAGCCCCAGAGTTTCACCCCCTGACTAGCCCCTCGGCAGGTAGCCTTGAGAGGGAATCCAGTAAAACGTAACTAAATTTAATAATCGCCGCATTCTCACAGATTTAGGAATCTTGGTGCGCTCAACCCGTATTGACAGATACTTTAAAGATGCTGCGATTTTTCTGCTGTTGAAGTTGGCCATTAAAGCTTTCCCTGAAATTTTTCCATAAATAACTACGTGCATTTGAGATGACCTTTTATGTACATGCATCTTCACGCCTGTTTGTCGGATCAGCTTTTTGTGACTTTTCAATCTGTTGGCTCTTCCTTCTCTTAAACTTAAGGGCTTCTAAACTGGGTTCCTTATAGCAAATGAGTCTTCAACTGAAGGCACACCTTCCTTCCCTCTTCGACAGGCTATCACCTGATAGCCCAGTGGAGGTCCGATTCTGATTTTCCAGGGTTGTCTTCCTAAAATAACGATTGCATCACTCTCCCTGCATCACAAACCTTAAAGCTCCCTACTGCTGTAGGTTAGTGGCCAAAACCTTCGTTCAGGCAGTCATATTCCGGGTAATTTCAAGAACCTAGTACATACCTATCTAATTTTGTTTTCTGTTTCCCTAGAATAATGGTTCTTAAACTTTGGCGTGCACCAGAAACACCTAGAAGGCTCCTTAAAACACAGATCCAAGGGCCCACAAACAGAGTTTCTGACTCAGCAGGCCCAGGGTAGGGCTGGTGAGTTTGCATTTGTAACAAGTTCCCCGGTGATACTGGTGTTACTGATCTGGGGCCGCTGCTGCTGTAGAAGAGCTCTTCACTGGTTATCTCAGAAACAGGCCAAGATCACTGTGGTTATATTTTCATATACTTGAATACTTTTAAAAAAAAGTATTTTGGGTAAATGTACTATTTTTCTCAAAATAAGACCTTGGAGAAGATTCTCTGCAGTTGAGCAGGTGGTCGGCACACAAATCTGACTGCCTGGATTCTGTTCTGATCGACCATGGCCTTTTTAGACAGAATGGCTACCATTTAAGTGAGTAATAAATGGTAAGGAATTGGGCAACTGCTTAAGTATTGGTCCCTTTTGGCAAGGTCATCATCCAGTGATAATTATATGGGAACAGTAATGAAAACAAAACCCCCTACAGGACTAAATCTGGCCTACAAGAAACCAAGCTCAACACTGCTGGCCAGTTAAGTTTCCCTGGCCCCTTAGTACATATTCTCACATAACTTCTGGCTTTATTAGCTCAATTCAACCTACTTACCTATTGGTCTTCATAGATTCACATGCACTATATATGTTATTTAAGGCATCACCATTTTCTGTTACTACTATCTGTATCAAAACAGAAATAATGACCAAAGTCTATCCTTAGCATACTCTCACAATGTATATTCTCACAATGTATTCTCTCTGGACATTTGAAACAAAACTGACTAGATAAAAATACCCATCCGGGGCTTCCCTGGTGGCACAGTGGTTAAGAATCCACCTGCCAATGCAGGGGACACGGGTTCGAGCCCTGGTCCAGGAAGATCCCACATGCCACGGAGCAACTAAGCCCGTACGCCACAAGTACTGAGCCTGCGCTCTAGAGCCCGCGAGCCACAACTGCTGAGCCTGCATGCCACAACTACTGAAGCCCGCACGCCTAGAGCCCGTGCTCCGCAACAAGAGAAGCCACCGCTCGCTGCAACTAGAGAAAGCCCACACACAGCAATGAAAACCCAACGCGGCCAAAAATAAACAAAATAAATTAAAAATATATATATATCCATCAGATTCATGTCGAAGGTGGTAACTTCAGTCAAAATTCTAATACAGAAAAAGCTACTCTGATTAGTGTGAAATGTCCCATTTGTAGTAGATACGTTTAAAATCCTCAAAATCTACATTTAGCTAAGAATGAATATTTGAAGCAATATCCTTCTTCATGATCTATATACAGACTAACTTGAATTTCAGCATTCCTTCTTTTGACTCAGTCTAAACAAGAAGCAAACGATATGGTAGCTTTACAAGTCAGATGTAGCCAAACATCTAAAAGATCTTCCATGAAAATACGGAGTGTTGAGTGCAAACGGGCAAAATTTACTCCACCACTATCGGCCTCCAAACGACTAAGGGCTGGCATAGCAGGGAAGGTTCATCGACAGCACATGAAAGCCGCAACCTGCTTTCCTGTCACAGTGAGGTCGTGGCTACTCAGATTCTAAACAGCCAAGAAACTCCAGTCATCAGAATTGTGCTTCACAGGCC